TGAGGTGGGACATTCCCATTAGAAAGGACAAGCAGACCAACTTGGAACAACTTGAGTGACAGAAGATACATCTTCAAAGAAAGATTATCAGGAAAAACCCAAAACAAAAATGTCAGCATGACTGGCTACTACAAGAATAAGCAAGCTGTTCACCAGGAAGACATCAAAGCAAGCAATCAAGTTCCTTCAGGACAAACCCCTCTAAGACTGAAACTGAAAAGGAACACACTAACAAGCCTGTAAGCTTGCTGGCGACTACATTGGTCTACTGGTTAGTGGAAGAGGGGGAAAGGCAGCAATGAAGAAATGGGCTGAGTTCAACCACAGTCCATTGACACCTGTTGACCTGGAGATGAGAGAGAGAAGAGGAAGGGCTGGTTGGTCCAAAGTGTAGTGACACCTGAGGAAACTTGAGCCCATGGACAAGGACATAGCCACAGAGGTCTAGAACTGAGAATAAAGCATCCAGCTGATATGAAGTGAGGGGAGATACACAAGAACATCCAAATGTGCAGACAGTACCCATTTGACCTAGCCTCGATGGCTTGGTCAGAACTCGACTAGAGGAAGATTAAAAAAAAAAAAAAAACAAAAAAACAACCTTTATTTTTTAATAAAGGAAGAAACAAGGATAAATTGCTACAATTTGATGAACCTGACCTATACTCATAGAGGTGGTGGTTATGTGCCGTGGAGTCGGTTCTGACTCATAATGACCCTGTACAGGGTTTCCGAGGCTGTAAATCTTTACGGGAGCAGAAACCCTAATCTTTCTCCCACAGAACAGCTGGTAGTTTAGAACTGCTGACCTTGTGGTTCGCAGCCTGATTCGTAGCCACTTTGCTACCAGAGCTTCTTACTCATAGAGGTAGTGATTCTAAATACTAACAGAGAGGGAAAGAGTCTTCACATCAAGTATCAATGCTGCCCCCTCTGTACACAGGATAGATAGGGACGGGCAACTTAGACATTGGTTTCCTAAAATGAGGGGGCAATAAAGGCACAAAGTGACTGGCTTACAAGGTTTCAAGAAAGAGTTTAGTTTAAGAGTATGGGGAGGAAAGAAAGAGTCCCCACTGAGTAGATTTCATCTTGTCTAGATGGGTTTGGTGAAAAGAGATGGGGATAAGATTCATATGATTCAATAGTGAATAATTGTTATCATGACTAATTGCAACTGTCACAATTGTAAAGGTAGCAGTTTTGTAACAAAAACAGGGGAATGGTTAATCTTACAGTCCAGAAACAGAGGATCTTAGGACCATCAAGGGAGAAGCGCACAAGCATAATGCAGGACCTTATCCAGAGAAGCAGCAACGCTAGAGACAGAGGCAGAAATGGGGACATGGAAAGGAGGAGTGGCTGAGGACTCTAGATTTATGGGAAGAGAGGGACTAGGAGCTGGTGGCCAGGAGGCAGACTTGCAGAATGTGCCCATTGGAGATGTTAATTATTATATATGCCTGAGTGGTTAGTTTTTTTTTAAGACGCTAAAGTGGATAGAGAGAAATACTGTTAACTGATGGTACATGGAGGGGATTATAATCATTGTAATGAAACAAGGGATATTATTTGTTGCTGATGATCTGCCCTGTAAACTTTCACTCAGTCCACAGTGAAAACCTTAAAAAAAAAAAAAATAGAACCTATTCTAGCTGGGTTACTTTTTTCCTTGAGCACCTGTATAGATTTCAGTCATATATTTTACCACATTATACCGACTTACCAGATGTAAGGGACCCTATTTGATTTTGTGCCCATAGGGTCTAGCATAAGGCCTGGAGCATTCAGTATTTGCTGAGTGAATGACTATTCTTGGGCCATTTAGCAACCTCCAGACTTTCAAACCTCTCCAGAGAGGGATTGTTCAGTCACCCACCTGCTTTGTTCAATGGTTAATTTCCTTGTATATCATTTACTCCTTTTCTTTTTCACTGAAGTTGCATCTGTTTATCCATTGACTCTTGGGAAAGTACAATGCATTCTTAAAAGGCATATCACTATCCCTTGGTTTTTGCTCTATAGAGTTTACTTTCTTTTCTATAGCACATTGTACATGAGCCAGTTGTTAAGCTTTATGGTATAGTGAATTGCTTAATATGTCTCATTCAGCCATGCATGGTCTTGTGACTCTTACAAAATGATTGGATAAGACTAAGCAAATAAGATGCTGTGGCCCACCAAGTCGATTGGACCACTTGCTAACAATGCAAATAAGGTTCATGAAACTCAAGAAGGTGATTGGTCATTTTTGTCATCCTGTGAAGCTTAAAAAGAAAGCCAATCCCAGAGCAGAGAGGGGATCTCACTACCATCAAGAAAGAAGAGCCAGGAATGGAGTGATCCTTTGGATCCAGGGACTAAGAACCTCCTAGACCCAGGAGACAGAGAAAGCTGTAACACTGGAGATGGTGTGAGATGGCAGCAAGTGCAGCAGAGAAACAGCAGCTACGGTAGGACCAGGAGACCAGCACAAGATAGCACGGTGGGCTTCACAACACATAGTGAAGAGTAGCTACAGTGGGGGTGCCCATGCAGTAACAGAGTTTAGCATCATTTCCAGGTGGAGTAGGGTGCCTCTAGGTACTTATCGGAGATGCTAAGAGTTTTTTAACAATTACCTGAGCAGGGCAAAGGCCAAGCTGAGAGAAGCTTATACTGAAGAGGCTGAAAGGTGCTTATATTCAAGTGTGCAAGAGAATCTTTCCTGTGGCCAAGCACAAGAGCTCAGGTCTAAGCAGGGCCCAGCCACAGAGACCTGTCTGCAGGTATGGTTGGAGAAGAAGCTGTATTCTGAGTTCCCTAATAAATTTCATAACTGTGGGTATTGTCTCTATGCTCTAAGTGGCCATTGCAAAGAATTAACAAACCCAGCAGAGAGGTAGAGAGTGCTGTGGGAAGAAAAGCATGAAGAGGTGAGTCCAGCCTCTACTTACTTCATAGGAATCAGCTGTCTGATGTTGATCTTGATTCTCTTTCTGGCCCACTGTGAAGTTAGGTCACCGTTTTATAGGCTTTGAACTTCCATTATAAATTTTTGTTTAGTTATTTTATTCTTGCCTTTTTCCATTAGATCCTTGGCTCTTAGCTATTAATTTTGGAGCAAATAACTTTACCTCTCTGCGCTTCCATTTTCTCATCTGAAAAATGGTATAGTTCCTTCGTAGGTGCCCACACCGGCCTGCCAGCATGGATGATCGGAGTTCTGTAAAAGGGACTCAGTCTCTGTAGTTCGGATAACTGCTTGTTGTTGTTGTTGTTGTTAAGTACCGTGGAGTCAGTTCCGACTCATAGTGATCCTTCACAGGGTTTCCAAGGCTGTAAATCTTTACGGGAGCAGAACGCCTCATCTTTCTCCCACGATAACCGCTTAGGAACATTGATTTCATCCTCAAGAGAGGTGGCCCTATCCTGAGCCTATTCCTGAATCTTGGTCATGTTTTGTCTCATTTTGGCTTTGGCCTGTTTACACTAGCCTGAGACCTTAGTCAAGGCGGAATACTCCTGGGTATACACCCCATCTTTGTTTTTAGGTATTGGAGCTCTTTAACACAGACCTTTAGCTTGGTAGAAGGAAGGACAGTGAAGCCAAGCCAGAAGGGTTGTCTGGTTAGTGTTTATCCAGGAACTAATGGCTTTTTGTCTTAGAATATGCTTCTGCTTCTACTTATAGGAACATCATACAATGACCTATTTGTTCCCAGACCCCCTGTGTTTCCCTTTTCCCCATCCATTTCTGGCCCATGTTTTTTTTTGTTTTGTTTTTTTGTTTTAAGGTTTTTATTGTGGATTTGAGTGAAAGTTTTCAGGGCACATCATCGGTTTCACATTCAAACATTCATATACCTTGTTTCATTACATTGATTATAATCCCTTCCACATACCATCAGTTAACAGAGTTTCTCTATATCCTCTTTAGCTTTTTTTCGGGGGGAAAACTTTGCCTTTTTGGAATTTACAGTCTCGGCTTTTAGGGAAGGTTTTTACATTTATCTGTGTGTATCCAGGGCTCATGTATGGAATTACTAACCAGCATAACTGAATAATCAGAAAAGGGACATTTTACTATGTCTGCTAGGTGGCTAAAGTCTGATCCTCGGAGCCTATGGTTTGGACGGTCAGCAACGCTTGGGCCCACGGGGACTTGAACGCCTGACCGGGTCTGCACGGTCTGCATCAGATTCCCCCTTATTTATTATTTGTTTAAGGGACGCTGCCTGTCTTAGGCGGTCAGTGTGAATTCCTCAGTCTTACCCGTCATCGAAACTCATTGCAGCATGGCAATGGCTCTGTCTTAGGTTGCCGAGGTTCCACATGATCCTTGCCCGTCTCTGGCCACACGTCCACCATAAACAGACACCATCCGAAGAAGGCAGGGAGGAAGGAGACCAGCTGGGGAACCCACACACAAGATGTTGCCAGACCTCCACCTGCTCTAAGACGACCAAGCAGGATCACTATGCTGGGGTTCAACCAAGTTCACAGGGGAACTTAATCTCTGGCCGAGGTAGCAAATTAGTAGCCACACAGTTCTCAACTTGAGAATTACTTATATCAGAAGTTTGAGCATGTAGCTGATGAATATCCACAGACAAGTGTATATTGTTCCACAACCCCCTACAATGCTGTTGAATTACGTTCCAATCAGGTTCTGGTTAACTGAAAAAATAACACATATCTAGGTGGGCAGGGCAAAAAAAGGTAACAATTCCTATTAGTGCAGTGATTCTTGACCTAAGAGCAAAGACATGTGGCACGTTTAAGGGCCAGGCACCGCAATGATTTGCCTAGCTTCTGAAAATGTTAACAGGCAATAAAACATACGATGGTTGATGAACGATTGCAAAGTCTGTAACATCTGTTAATTCCCCATTCCCCACGCCCGACAAGCAAAACGGCAGAAAGTCTCTGGACCCATGTTTTAAAGACAAGTGAGTGGCTAAGCCCCAAGCTGCGGGCATTGATTCCAACACCATTCTCTTCCCATCTTTGTTTCAGAAGGCAATGGCAGCTACCTGTGTCCTCCTGAATACTGGACAGAAGATGCCTCTGATCGGACTGGGTACCTGGAAGAGTGAGCCTGGCCAGGTGAGGTATGGGGAACAAGAGAGAAGCTTCTTGAGCCTCTGTCTGGGAAAAGGCAGGATTTGGGAAAAAAAGAACCCTGTATTTCCCCCCACCTCATATACCACTTCATGTAAGGATGAGTATGGAGGGCAGTGGGAAGAAATAAGAGAAGGGACCAGCCATGAGCCACTGGTTCCCGGAGCTGTCTTCATTGCCCCAGCTCACTTATAGGAGGGGCTGTAGGACCCAGCTGGACCAAGGGCCCTGGAAGGAAAGGAAAGAAAAAAATTTTTCTAATTGGATCTGTGCTGTGTGCCCTGGCAGATGTGGGGCCCACAAGTGCATCCACATTTATATGTGAGTGTCCACAGCAGTGATGGCTGCCTTTATTGTTGTTGGGGTTGGGGGAATTGATTTCCCTCTTTCACGTCTCCTTCATAGCACTCCCTAAAGCTCCTCTGCCCTATCACCTTGTGCTGTCCTCAGGTTTTCTCTCCCATACTCTGAGGCTTGAGTTGCACCACAGCTAGGCACACAGCAGGTGTCAGGGTTTGAAGAGTAACTAGATCAACTGTGTAGACCAAGGGTCAGCAATTTTTTTTTTTTTTTTAATTAACAAAGACCAGATAGTTAATATTTTAAACTTTGCTGGACAAGAGGCAAAATGGAGGCTATTATGTAGGCATTTACATAACCAGGAGTCCTGGTGTGGCACTGTGGGGTAAACTCTGGACCACAAGGTTAGTTTGAATCTCAAGGTCGGTGGTTAAAACTTATTAGACGCTCCTTGGAAAAGCCCTATACAAGGTCTCTATAAGTTGGAACTGATTCAACAGCAGCACTTAAAAACAGCATATAACCATTTAATAAGTCTTTTAAAATGTAAAGCCCATTCTTAATCTTGAAGTTTAAAAAAAATTCTTTTTTTAAAGGCAGCTACTCAACCTTGAGGTTCAAAGGAACTCCACAAAGGCACCTAACAACAACAACAATGCATACTTTATCAAGTCCTGCTTTAGACCTATACAGCCAGGAGAGCTTGGGGCTGGACACTGCTTTTCTACACTTGATGTAACTATGGGATACAGCTCCTACCTGGGGTGTGGCATCTCTCCTCAGGGCTTTTTCCACGTTTCTTGGAAATGTGAGTCAGACTGAAGCGGTTTGGGGATTAAGTTTAGGAGTGACTTTAGAAGGGAGAAGAGCGTCTTCTGTCTAGGATTTAGGCTGGTGTTTATGGTGTGGTTGGATGCCCTCTGCTTTGTTCTCTTTGCTTTCCTTCTACAGCTTCCTAGGACCCTGGAGTCAAGGTCCTGTTATTCTGGGCAGGCACTCCACACAGCCTGGGGACAAGTCTGGGAGTTAGGTCAGAACAGGGTGTGGGCCCATGATTTAGGTCCTGGACATAGAACCTAACCCAATGTCTGGGTCCTAGAGCAATAAGAGTAGGATCAAAAGTGTGGGGAGCTCAACTAGATAGTAAGAGCGGCCCCTAGATGGAACTTTTGAATGCCAAGCCAGGCACTCACAGAAAGAGCTTTGGGGCCTTTGTGGTAAGAACCTGGTTCTGAACCCATGTTTTTAGTCTCATTTTTAGTAAATTGACTCACCCATCCTCCTACTTGATGCCTGCTTTCTTCTCTCCCATCTAGGAGCTCTGGGCCCAACTTCTCCACCTTATTTAATTTTCTCCCTTCCACTTCTTCTGCAGGTCCTGAACCTCCAGAGCTGACTCAAGTGAGCTAGCCTAGGAACGTGTCATATTTCCCTAAGCAGCTCCTCAGGACTAGGGACCTGTCTCCATGACCTACACTTCTATTTATCCATCCATCTTTCAATTAAAAAGATGTTTACTAAATCCTTCTTTATGTTACATTCTGGGAACACGTTGTTAGTTTTTTGCTAGGCTCTGCTGAGATAAGTAAGAATGGACCTTGGAGATTGATGAGATGTGGGTAAGGCACAGGGTTTCAGTCCTCTGAAGAGGCTTCTAATCCTCTACATTAAAACCATCTTCTGTCTTCTTACCTCCATTTTATGGATGCTGTTGTTGTTGTTAAGTGCCGTCGAGTCGGTTCCGACCCATAGCGACCCTGTACAGGGTTTCTGAGGGTGTAAATCTGTACGGGAGTAGAAAGCCTCATCTTTCTCCCGCGGAACGGCTGATAGTTTCGAACCACTGACCTTAAGGTTCGCAGCCCGATTCGTAACCACTATGCTACCAGAGTGTGGATAACCCTGGTATATTCATGCCTCCCTGTCAGTGTAGTGTCCCTTGGAGTGTTGGAGAGGAGGAGAGTTTTTGACTCAGATCAACAGAGCTGAAACCTTTGCTTCTCCCACCTGACAGGTGAAAGCAGCTATTAAGTATGCCCTGAGTGTTGGCTACCGCCATATTGACTGTGCTGCAATTTATGGCAATGAGATTGAGATCGGAGAGGCCCTGAAGGAAAATGTGGGACCTGGCAAGGTAAGGACTTGGGCTACAGGCAAAGGTGGGATGGGAAAATTCAGAGGCTAGGGCTAGAGCCCTGGGGGGAGGGAATCTAGTACTCCCTTCTAGTTTCTCTCCCAGAAGTGAGGCTGGGTGCCCATGGTCTTTCTCACTATGGACCTTGCCCCCCTGTACCAGGCAATACCACGAGAGGAGTTGTTTGTGACATCCAAGTTGTGGAATACCAAACACCACCCTGAGGATGTGGAGCCTGCCCTTCGGAAGACTCTGGCTGACCTCCAGCTGGAGTATTTGGACCTGTACCTGATACACTGGCCTTATGCCTTTGAGTGAGTCATTGCCAGGGTCTTACCTGGGGAGATGGGATAGTGTTAATACTTTATCCTAAGTCTCAATGGCAGAACAAGATAGGAGCACACATCTATGTGGCAGTCTGAGGAGCTTGCCATGGAATCTGAACCTTTTCTTTTCTGCTACAGTAGCCAGGAGTTTAGCTACAGCAAAGAAGTGCAGCTTTTTGTGGTGTGTATCCTGGGGTATGCATGGGTATGGCCTCCTGCTCCCTTTATTCATTCAGGAAACATATACTGAGCCTTTTGTTGAGATAGGTTCTGGGTTACAGTAACCAGTAAGCCCCAACAGAGGATGTGAGAAGAACCTACCATCAGTACTGTGTCTTGTGCTAGAAGACTGAAAGAATGTGTAACCACTGAGGAGGAAGAAGTTAAGGAAGACTCAGAAGAGAGGAGATATAATCTGGGTCTAGGAAAAGAAAGGAGCATGGGCATTCCATGTAGAATTAACACCAGAGTCATGAGCTAGAAGGGAGAAAAATGCATGACTGTTTCACATTCTTGGCACTTTGGCCTCTTCGGAATTGGGATGTGGAACACAGAGTAGCTGGAATGACAGAGAGGGCAGGAGTCTGGTGTCTGTGCCCACACTCAGGGCTGTCTCACACTCAGGCAAGGAGACAACCCCTTCCCTAAGAATGCAGATGGGACTATACGCTATGACTCCATCCACTACAAGGAGACCTGGAAGGCTCTAGAGTCAATGGTGGCCAAAGGGCTGGTGCGGGCGCTGGGCCTGTCCAACTTCAGCAGCCGGCAGATCGATGATGTGCTCAGTGTGGCCTCTGTACGCCCTGCTGTTCTGCAGGTGAGTATGACAAGCACCCTAAGTGTTTGGGTGATATGCACAAGAGCATGAGTGAGCAGGTGCTGGGCCTGCTTAATGGAATGGCTAGCAAGTTGTCAGAGTGTTGGTGAGCCAAGTACTCAGCATTGAAGTGGGTTTTGTAGTCCTGGGAGAGAATGAAATTACTGATGGAAAACAGTGGGAAAAGCGGGCTGAAGTGGAGGAGGAAGAGTTTCAGCAATGCAGGGTTGATCAGGACATGCATGTCTGGGTGGGATGGACACGCTAGGTGTGGCCACTTTTGGTGATGAATTGCTTTCTGACTCAGGTGGAATGCCACCCATACCTGGCTCAGAATGAGCTGATTGCTCACTGCCATGCCTGTGGTCTGGAGGTGACTGCTTATAGCCCTCTGGGCTCCTCTGATCGTGCTTGGCGGGATCCTAATGAGCCTGTCTTGCTTGAGGACCCCGTGGTCCTGGCACTGGCTAAAAAGTATGCCCGGTCTCCAGCTCAGATCTTGCTCAGGTGCGTGCAGTCTTGGAGGATGAGGGGTCTGTGGGGGCAAGGGACCCTGGTCTTGGGAGGCAAGAGTTGAGGGGCTCCTTATCATGCAGTGTGGTCTGGGTGGAAGCCACTTTGAGGCATGTTCTCTGCTCTGGTAGGGTTGCAGGAACTTGGGGACGGCTGCATGGAGAATAAAACAGTGCTTTGGAGCACTAACCACTCTTCCTTATGTATCTTAATCCTTTTCGGTAGGTGGCAGGTCCAGCGGAAAGTGATCTGCATCCCCAAGAGTGTCACTCCTTCCAGAATTCTTCAGAACATTCAGGTACTTGGGTGATGGCCCTACCCTCTTTAGCCCTTTGGGACATAGCCTGGCCCCAACTCTGTCTGCCTGTGAAAGTAATTCTTTGGAATCCCAGCTTCTACTTACAAGACTGGCTTTTGTGACCCTTCCATCTCCTCCTTTTACCCCTAGGTGTTTGAATTCACCTTCAGCCCTGAAGAGATGAAGCAGTTAAATGCTTTGAACAAAAATTGGCGATACATCGTGCCCATGCTTACGGTGAGGATTAATCAACTTCCAGGGTCAGGGAATGTGGGTAAGAGCCTGCCCCAGATCTGGCCTCAAATTGTTGCTCAGAGTCGGGGAGCAGGATGTTAGTGGTAGTAGCAGAGGCATTGTTATCTGGACACAGTGGTCTCTTTTTCCTTTACTGAGCTCAAGAAAATAGTATGACTTCCGGATAGGGAGCATCACCTTTGAGTCCCAATTCTGTCTCTTGTTGTCATGTAACCTGTTGTTGATGTTAAGTGCTATCGAGTTGGTTCTGATTCATAGCAGCCATATGTAGAACAAGACAGACACTGTCCAGTCCTGTGCCAGTTGATATATTTAAGCCCATTGTTATGGCCACTGTGTCAGCCCATCTCATTGAAGGTCTTCCTCTTTATTGCTGACCCTCTACTTTACCTCCCTGTGATTCTTGTTTCCATCCAGCCTTCTTTTCCAACTCCTCTGAATTTTATCAGGTAAATACTGCCCTTTTGATCTTGAATGGTTGATTGTTCCATGGTGTGCCTACCTCACTAGTGTTGCTGGCCCCTCTAGATACCTGTCTACTGCTTGGCTGGAAATTGAGCCACAAGGGTGAGTTCAGTTTCAGTCCTGAAGGGTGACCAAAAACCTGGGGCTCCACCAGTCTCTATCTGACCAGTAAACCTGGTATATATTTTTTTATGACTTTGACTGTTGTTCCACATGGTTTCCCAGTCTCTATCTAGGACCTTCTAATGGGATCCCTTTTAGAGATGTTGGTAGTGGTAGCCAGATACCATCTAGTTCTTCAAGTCTTAGGGTCGTAGAAGTTCACATGGTTCATTAGTTCATTGGACTAATTGTTTTCAAGTGACTTCTGTTTTCATCACTCTTCTTTCCTTTGGACAGTGAGAGACCAATAGTTGCACCTTAGATAGCTTTTAAGATCCCAATTGCTACTTACCAAAGTAGGACGTAGACTATTCTCTTTGTGGACTATGTTGATGCCAATTGATCAGGGTGTCCCCTGATACTAATCCATGTTGAATTTTAAAGGTAACTTAAAATTAAAATTAAAATTTTAAACTACCTTTCATAACAGCAGTTTCTCTAACTTTGATATTAATGTAACCTTGATGCTAACTAATCATATACCCTAAGGAAGACATTCCTTTTCTCTGAGGTCTGGCAGGTGCAAGTTATCACAGTATGTTCTTCCTCATTGAGGAAGACTTTCAAGGAGATGGATTGACACAGGGGCTGCAACAATGAGCTCAAATATATCAACTGGCACAGGACCACGTAGTGTTTGTCCTTCCTGTTCTACATACGGTTGCTATGAATCAGAACCAACTCAAACACCCAACATCAACAGCAGGTTACATGGTAATGAGACAGACCTGGGACTCCCAGGTGATGCTCCTTATCCCTAAGCCATAATGTTTCTTAGAGCTCAATAAAGGAAAAAGAGACCACTGTGTCCAGATAAAAATGCCCCCACCACTATCTCCACAATATCCAGAAGGTCTTTCCAATATGGTCAAACAGATGCAAGAAATGACAGCTTATGTCCAAAGCAGTTTTACTACAGGTTACCAGAAATAAACTATCCTGTCACTGTCCAGTGACCACCCTGTAATACACTGAAGAACATGTACCTTTAATCAACTATGTACCTCTGTTGTTATTTGTCGTTAAGTGCTGTCGAGTTGGTTCTGATTCAACAACAACTTTGTATAGGGTTTCTAAGGAGCAACTGATGGGTGTGAACTGCTGACCATGTGGTTTGCAGTCTAGTGTTGACCCTACAGTGCCACACTAGGAGTCCCATGTACCCCTACTTATGTATTTTTCACCTTTCTCTGCCTAATCCCCATTTCTAGTTAGCCTGCCTTTGTCTCCCTTGATTGTCTTTTAGCCAGTTATGATTTTGTAACTTTTTAGCTCCTGCTCATTGTCCAGCGAGCAGTCATTTTCACTCTGAATTGGATATCTTCATGATCTGGACCACCTCTGTCCCTCAATAAACCTCTGTTGCTTTTACTTTTAGCAGACTCCATGATATTACTCTATGACATTGGACATTTCTCAAAGTAACATCTTAGTGTTTTGTGTTTTTTTTTAAATACTTTTGAGAGATTTTTGGTTTTTTTAAAATGTTTTATTGTGAATTATGTGATAGTTTACATGGGAGAACATTAGCTTTACATTTATCCTATCATATATTGTTTCACTGCTGTGGTTACAGCCCCCTCCATGCATCATCAACCAACCAAATGATACACCCCGCAAGCCTGTCACCTGGTCATCAGCACACAGCCCCACTCCCTTTCTGGTCTAGAGTCCCCAGCCTCTCCATCTTTCCACATCATCGTCTCTACCTCCATCTCTGGTGTCACTGTTTCTCTGGGTAGGGTCTTGTACTCAGCTCTTCTCCCTTGACCTCCATTCCTGGACTGCAAAGTCAATCACTCCCCTCCTTTTGCTGCAAAATGTTTACCTTTACATTTCCAACCCTTGCAGTCAGTCCTGATAACAATTATTCACTATTGTACCACAAGAGACCTAGTCTAATTTCTTTTCATTAGCCCCACCCAGACAGATTGGGCACTACACAGTGGAGATTCTACCTTCCTCCATGCCCTCTGGATCTAGGCTCCCTACTTTTGAGAGGCCTTTTGCAACAGATTTGTCCAGTATCTATAGTACATTGATTTCTTGACTACTGTTTCCATAGGTGTTGATTGTGGATCCAAATAAAATGAAATCCTTGATAGCTTTAATATTTTCTGTTTATCATGATGATGTTTATTGGTCCAATTGTGAGGGTTTTGGTTTTCTTTTTACAAGTATAACGTAGAACAAGTTATTTAACATCTCTAGGCTTCAGCTTCTTGTCTGTAAAATGATCTCAGTTCCTGACACTTTGTTGACTAAGTAAATTAATGACTAAAAGGGGAACCAATAAGGCTTTGTTAGGGGGATTTGGGTGGGGTTAAGCATGTTGTGAAGTCCTGGTGTGGTGCTGTGGGTTAATGCGCCAGACTGCAAAGCCGTGTGAACTGCAAGGTCGGTGGTTCAAGTGCACAAGTCACTCCTTGGACCCCTGTACAGGGTCGCTATGGGTCGGAACCAACTCAACGGCACTTAACAGCAAGAACAACAAGCATGTTGTACACAGGAAAATAAATAGTTCCCTAGCACTTGATCCCAGCTGAGGTTCTTAGTTCTGTACTATATAAGTTTAGTGCTGGAATGCTCCTGATACTATGGCATTCTCCGAGACCAGGCCTGGATCACTGCTGTAGTCATCATCTGACATAGTGATGTTAATAGGTGAGGTTGTTTAAGATGCTTTGAGGAGGGTACTCTGCATCTTTGGAATGTCAGCTCTTGCTAACAGACTCATCTGTCCATCTATCTTTCCAGGTTGATGGAAAACGGGTCCCAAGAGATGCAGGGCATGCTCTGTACCCTTTTAATGACCCATACTGAGGCCACAGCTTCTTGGTGTCCCTTCCAGTCCTCCAGCTATGAAGTCCTGATATCTCCGGAAAGGAAGTTATTAAAGCTGTTGGAGCATGTATACTGCTTGCTTGTCCTATCTGTCTGGTTAGGCCTGGGAAGGAAACATTTTTACTTGGAAATGCCATATGTGCTCTGCAGCCCAAACTTCCTTATCTTTCTTTCTTGGTCAGGAAGACCCAACTAGGCCGTTTGCTTTCCCTCTTAAGTACACTAGAGGAACATCGCCATCTGGTGGCAGTTCTGAACACTGCATGCTGCCCCAGCGTTTTCCTTAGAAATGTCAAAGATTGGTCACCTCAGAGGATTGAGAACAGGGCAGTGATTTCGTGGCAATGCTGGACCTGGGCCTTGAGTTTCTATCCCCCTGTTCTGGTGATTAAGGAGCCCTGGTTGTACAGTGGTTAAGTGCTCAGCTTCTAAACAAAAGATGGGCAGTTCCAACCCACCAGCTGCTACAGTGGAGAAAGATGTGGCCTTCTGCTTCTATAAGCATCACATTGCCTTAGAAACTCTATGAGGCAGTTCTACTCTGTACTATAGGGCCACTACAAGTTGGAATCCACTTGACAGCAATGGGGAGTTCTGGCCAATGCCTAGGGCTAGGAATGTGAGGGACTCAAAAGTATTCAGAACTTTGGGTGGTACCAGCTTACAAAATCATGAAAGGTGAGGACTGGGGCTTTGTTTCAAACTGCAATACATATGTCATAGGCTGCCTGAAGGAGACAGAGTCAGACCCAAAGGTTGTTTACTCTGCATCTAGATCCTTACCTTACTTCAGTTTTTAGTCCTACCAAAGGCTACTCATTGATAATAAGGTTTGGGGGATTTTTTTTCCAAATCCTTTTAAGCGCCAGTCACACAAAACTCATTTTTGTTTCTCAGATAAGCCATCATTGCTCCTCGTTCAGCAAATGTGGGTTAGACAAAAGGCTAGACCCTGGGGATATATCAAAATACATAAGGTCCCTACAGTCTACTTGAAGAGACACACTTTAAGTAATTGCATAAGTAGCTTAATTACAGCTACAAGAAATGTTATGAATAAGTACAGGGCAAGAAGTCTATTGCTTTAATCAGCTGAGATCAGGAAGATGAATAGGGATTAATTAAAGGAGGTGAATGTGACAGTATTATTCCAGGTAAATTAAGCAACTTGGGGAAAAACCTTGAAACTAGTAAAAGCTGTTGGGAAAACCAAAAGATTTGTGTGACAAACTATAAAAGAGGCAGGGGGAAGGGAGGCAGAATGGCATGGAATGGTGTTGGAGTTGAGCAGTGGCCTGGTGATCAAGGGTCTAGGAGATTGTTAAGATTTTGGTTTTTGATCCTAAATACAATGGGAAGTAACATGCCTTCTCTTTGAGCAGGAATCACGTTCCTTGATATGTGTCTTAGACATAGCCCTGGGGCTATAAAGAGAATGGATAAGAGGGATAAAAAGTAGGTAGCAAGAGACATGTTGGAGCCTTTAGATACAGTGCCTGCCTGGAACAATCTACCCCTTAGCCCACTGGACTGGCTAACTTTATTAAATGTTTCATTTAGCTGTCACTTCCTTGGAAACATCTTTCCTCACCTTGTTCCCCCTAGGTAGCTCTTTGCATGATTCCATAGCTCCTTCATACTTTTTAGGATCTAAACCTCCACAGTCAGGAGGTAAGGAAACAACAGTTGTCAGAACATAAAACTATTCATTACTAAACTGACAAAAGTTAGTCGTTAACATCCACTGCAAAGTAAGATTGCAATTCTCACACACAAAAAATATGATTTAATAAAAGTGATGGAGAACTCAGATCATACCCAAAGCCATTGATTGACAACTGAAAATCTGACAGTTAACTGAAAGAGATGATCAAAGATAAGGATTGTTGTTGTGAAGTGTCGTCAAGTTGATTCCGACCCATAGCGACCCTGTATAGGGTTTCCAAGGAGCAGCTGGTGAGCTTGAACTGCCAACCTTGCAGTTCAAACAGCTTTGCAGTCTGGCTTATTAACCCACAGCGCCATACCAGGACTCCAAAAATAAGGATACCAGACTTTAAAAGATGATTGAAGATCAGAGTATTAAGGAACGCCTCTGGAATCCCTGGGTGGTACAAATGGTTAACACTCTTGGCTGCTAACTGAAAGGTGTGGGGTTTGAGTCCCACTTAGGCACATTGGAAGAAATCAGCCATTGAAAACCTTATAGAGTATATTTCAACTCTGACACATGTGTTGACCATGAGTCAGAATCAAATTGACTTTTTTTTTTTGAAGGAAGGCCTTTGGAAAAATTAAGATCTCAAGTACTTTTAAAACTAATTATATGATTATTGTTTTCAGTGCTACACTACAGACTCTGAAGTTTTAAATAAGACTATCATTATAAGACTGCATTGCCGGAAGGGAGTGCTAACCACTCAACTGCTTCACATCAAAATTCTTTATACATAAGAACAGTCTAAAACACCTTTCAGAAACTACTTTGTCTTCAAGGGAGGAGAAGCTAGCTGTCTCATTCATGCAGGGAAAGTGAGACTCTTACATTCTGTGGGTAGCTACTTGAGAAAAGGGACATACATTTATTTGAAAGAGGACACAGTATTTTTCCAGAAAAATGTTATCTATGAAGGAGTTCAGATATTTGTCCATGGCATTAAAACATTGACAATCCCATTATTCGTTGAGATGTTAACTTCTAGAATGTACATGACATATTCTGTTGCTTTTAGAAGTTGCATTCGTTTTTCTTCGTGGATCATTAACACTTTGACACTTGTATATTCATTAATCTTTAAATATGCACATTCAGAGTTATAATCTTGTTTTTTTTTCTCTACATCTTGGTGAACCTTTGGTCTTTCAAGATATTAACAGGTTGTTTTCTACAACATGACAAACAAGTCCTAGGTAGCATAGTAAATTAGAGAACATAATTGTGTCAGTATCATTTATGTAACTTCTAAATTATATTCCACCTCACTCTCTTGTATCAATCAAAAGTTGTTAGGAGTAGAAAGCCAGGACTATTTCATTTTAGGGATATCTCCCTAAGGAAAAGAGATGAGATTCAAGACCTTTCAGATTACCTGGTTGGGTTACTTGGCTTTACAGAGTAACAAAGAAGTCAAGAGCCATTTGATTCTGCCATGATTGAAATGAGATGATACTTTGATTTGTAGAGACCAGTGGTGTCAATTATTGCATTAATGCCCTACTTTGATACTCCAGAAGGATTACAATGGCCCTTTCTGCAAGCTTTTGTCAGGCAGTGTAGGTGATACTTCCAAAAATATTGCTTATCGTAGTTCAAGAGTTGTTAAATCCAACAATCAGATTTAGGAAAATGTTTACGTACGTCAAGCATCAAAGTACCCAAAGAGGCAAACAGGAAGGATAAAAAGCAAAGTACAATGGTTAAGTGTTTAGACTCTTACAGTCCATAGTAGCTTAGTGGTTTCCTTTTATAACACTAGATCTGAGGTGCTACATCTTGAGTCTCCATGTACTTTTCCAGACTTCCTTGTAATTTTCACTTTTTTCCTCAGTGAAGTTTTTAGGGGACAGCCAGGATAAAATTAAACAGTGTAGTCTGATTTCTGATTTGCTTATCTTAAAGGTTTCTCCATTAAGTAATATCTACAGTAAGTTTTTGGTATATAACCTTTGTAAACGTAAATAATTTAGTTTTATTTCAAGTCTACTAAATTTTTTATCATTTTGAAATTAGGTCTATAGTTATTTTCTCTGTATTTTCCTTTTCTGTGTCTATAGTTATTCTGTATTTTTTCTTTTTTTGTGTGTGTATTTTCTGCCTATATTTTTCAATCTATACTTGCGTTTTTAATATTTTCTAGCTTTGCTAACCCTTTCTCTTTTTCTTTCTTGATTTCTGCCATTATTTCTTTATTCCTTTCCCTCTTGTTGCTTTTTTTAGGTCTTGTTGAATTTTTAGGTCAGTTTATTTTTAATTGTTCTTGTTTCCTGATAAATTAATTCATAGCTATAAATCTTCATCCAAATACAGTTTTATCTGTGTCTTCTGAAGCTTGACATGTAATCATTTAATTCAAAGTAATTTCCTTCCCTCATGATTTTTTAATCCAAGGGCTACTTTTTATACCATATATGCGTTCATTTGTAATATAATAAAATATTATGGTTGGAGAACATTATCATATGAACAATAATAATTCTGTGGTATTTGTTGAACCTTTCTTTGTGGCCCAATAAATGGCCAATTTTTATTAATGTTCTATGGTGCTTGAATATAATGTATATTTGCTTTTATGTTGTTATGTGCCATCAAGTTGGTTCTGACTCACAGTGATCCCATAAGGGTTTCCAAGGAGTGGCTAGTGGGTTTGAACTGCTGACCTTGCAGTTAGCAGCCCAATACTTATCCTGTACTTATCCAGAACTCCTTAGGTGAGTATGTTGTTGTTAAGTGCCGCCAAGTCAGTTCCGACCCATAGTGACCCTGTATAAGGGTTTTCAAGGAGCAGCTGGTGAGCTTGAACCACCGATCTTGCAGTTCAAACCGCTTTGCAGTCTGGCACAGTAACCCACAGTGCCACACCAGGACTCCTAGTTGAGTATAGAGTTCTATATATAGTTAGTCACTTAAGCATATTAATAGTATTAATCATGTTTACAATATTTCTGTTTATCTTTTTTTTAATGTTTCTGAGTGGCATGTTAAAATTTTCAGTTACAAGTATTGATTTACCTCTTCCTATTCTGGTAGCATAGTGGTTACAAATCAGGTTGCTAACCTCACAGTCAGCAGTTCGAAACTACCAGCTGTTCCATGGGAGAAAGATGAGGCTTTTTGCTCCCGTAAAGATTTATACCCTTGGAAACCCTGTACAGGGTCGCTATGAGTCGGAACCAACTCCACGGCACATAACCAACAACAACATTCTATTTATCTCTTTTTTATAGTTCTATTTTATAATTCTGTTTTTGCTTCATATATTTTGAATCTTTACTGATAGTAAAAACTGTGGGGACAAATGAGGGTAAATCAAAAAGTATTGCTACAAAATCATAGACACCTTTATTAAG